TGATTTCAGCTCCCGGGGGTCTGTGTGCAGCTGCTTCTGGCCTCACTCTGCCACAAAGCCCGTTGGGGAGTGGCAAGGTCATTTCACCCATTGGGGCAAAGCATCCCCCTGCAGCTGTGGGATGCTTCCCATCGTGGCACCTCCCTGGGGAAGGAAGGGGGAATCTGAGCAGATGGGAAAGCCTCTTCTTAATTAATAGATGAGGCTTTTCCAGAGCAGCCCAGCACAAAGCACTCGAGCGGAGCAAGCTCGGAACATTCACAGGTAGTTTAGCTGTTCAAGCTTGGACCAGCCCAAGGAGTTGGCACCCAATTGCTAATAGCCCCGGCTGGTCCTGGCTGCACCATTCAGTCCTTTAAGCTGTTAAACCCTTATCACAATAAATTGTTATTCTCAGTTCTCTGTGTGTGCACTCAGTACTGGGGCTGGGGGGGGGGAGGCACAGCTGATTTATTCCCAGGAAATAAATGTTTCCTGCCACTGCAAGTTCACCTAAAAAAGGAAAATGACACCAAGGCTAGGCAGAACTGAATAGAAATGTCTTTTATTTTTCTTCAACTGGAGTTGTTTTCAAGGAGGTGAAGAGACCGTAGCTTTGCATTTAAATAAAGCAAATCAAGTTGGTCCAGATATAGCAAAAGCCTGTGGCTGAGAAGCACAGGAGAGCAGAGAGTGATGAGAGCGTTTCCTTTGCGGGCACTTCATCAGACAGGTTTGGAAACACGTTTCACAGCGGGTGACAGTTTGACCAAGAGACTTTCCGACCGCTTCAGCTCGGCTCCCCAGAGCGCTGACACTGCTCCAGCAGTCCCTTCTCGTGCTGCTGCTGTTCCATTCTCTCACTGACTCCCCTGGGGAGAGACTGGAATTTAAATTAATAAAGGTCAAATTAACAACATCAGCACCTCTTCTCCTTTCAGCCTCGTTGGCATCTCTCCCACCAAGGCATAAAAACTACTAAAGAAGCTGAGCAAAGGCCAAAGAGGCATCAATGAGCCCTGGCAGGGACTTAGCACCAAGGGAAGAGCAGTGATACTGGGTCAGGTTTGGGAACCAAACAATGTGAACTCACCTTTATGGAAAATCATAGTAGTTTAAGTGTATACTAGTATCGATAAAGCCATTCTGCTCCATCATCTAGTAAACAAGGATGTCAATAGAAACATGCTTGTATTCATAGATTTTATTGTAGTGGAGCAGGGAAGGTAGTGATGAGGTTTCTGGTAGGAAACAGTGTCCCGGCACATCTCGGCGTGAGCGGCAGCTACGGCAGTTAAGCTGTGCTTTGGACTGCCTGCAGTAAAATCGTTGCCAGCTACTCTGTTCAGTTGTAGCCATACTACAAGTCTTTGCTAGGAAAACACTGTCAGCGAGGGATTGTGCTGCTTATACCCACCAGCAAAGCCCAGCCAACAGTAGGGAATAAACCACTTGCTGCTACCCTTGCTAATAATACAACTCCAAGCACTCTCTGGGTCATATCAGTAGAACAAAATATGCCCCAAACCCACCGTGAATATTATATATTCAGTAAATATATAATATTCTGTGCTCCATAGAAGCTGTACATTGATCAGTCTTAAGCAACAATGTTGACCAGATGCATCAAATACCAATGGCAGAAGCTGAGTTTGATGCCTCTTGTTTATTCCTCTCCAGAACAGCAGCAAAGACCCAAGGGGAGAGTCAAAGATGGTGAATAGCAACAAGCTGAAAATTCATTACAAGGACATTTTGCTATCATAATGCTTAATTAGCCTGTGTAATTATTTTACATTAAGGATCATGGAATTTGAATGCTTGGGAGGATTGCTGCATTTTTATTAAGAACTGGACTCTTACAGAGATAAATAGAAACAACCAATGCCACCAAAAGCAGTGTTGGAGGTAGGGTGTGAGCAAGGATCTAAGTATTTTGAGACAATTAGAGCCATATTGAATACCCAGCCATGATTCAGAGGGAAGGCAAGCAGCTCCACCACCGCGGTTTCAACCCTGTGTTAACATAAATTGTCCCTCAGTGCCATTTCCCTCAATGCCTCAAGGTGTTACTCAAGGATTTAGAATCATAGAACCATAGAATGGTTTGGTTTGGAAGGGACCTTAAAGATCATCCAGTTCCAACCCCCCTGCCATGGGCAGGGACACCTTCCCCTAGACCAGGTTGCTCCAAGCCTCATCCAGCCTGGCCTTGGCCACTTCCAGGGATGGGGCATCCACAGCTTCTCTGGGAACCTGTTCCAGTGCCTCCCCCCCCTCTGCGGGAAGAATTCCTTCCTGATATCTAATCTAAACCTCCCCACTTTCAATTTAAACCTGTTACCCCTTGTCCTGTCTCCCCCTGCCCTTGTAAAAAGTCCCCCCAGCTTCCTTGTAGCCCCTTCAGATACTGGAAGGTGCTATAAGGTCTCCCCGGAGCCTTCTCTTCTCCAGGCTGAACAAGCCCAATTCTCTCACCCTGTCCCCATAGGAGAGGTGCTCCAGCCCTCTGATCATCTTCATGGCCCTCCTCTGGACTCGATAGCTACTCATTTAGCACATGAGTAGCTCTGCAGCTGGGATCAAGCCACTCCTTCTTGGCACACCAATACCTTGAAGTAAGAGCATGCCCCAGAGGCCCTTACTTTGGGGCCTTAAGGTGTGAAATAGCTCCTTCTGCTCCACTGCTGTGGTGGAGCTGCCTGGGAGGGACAAGCGACCTTTCGTGCACTGACTGAAGCATGTATATTTTGATGAGATGTGGAAATGAAGCCCTGATTACCAAATGCAAATGCTGCAGCAGGGACACCCTCAAGGAGCCAGAGGATTCAGCCTGATCAAGAGGCAGCAGCAGCAACACAGTCACTGAGGGCATCCAGGATGGACAGATAATTGTGGTTGAGTAACAGCTCAGGACAGGTAGAGATATGAGCTAACGCCTTTCAGCCTCCTGGGACACCTTAGATAAATAACCGCATCACTCCCAACTACAGGAATGTGCCTGTGATTCAGATGTCCACCATCTCCCCTGGCCCCTTGGCATTGCACAAGGGGAGTGAGGCTTTGCCCTTGGAGCAGCTGTACTGTCACTGGGGGCACAGCAGCAAGCTGGGATGCTGCACTGGGGCACAGCTTTGCCCAGCGTGAGACAAGAACATGTTTACCAACACTGTAACATCAGCACGAGCTTTGCTTTCATCCTCTTCACACCATCCTAGCAATGGTTTCAGGGTACAACAGCCCTTCAGTCCTCCTGGCATCAACTCAAAAGCACTGTGGACACACGTCTGGTGGGACTGGCCCAGGATAAACATGCTCCATCCTCTTTAAATTTGCTCAAAATCTTTTGGCAGATTAGCTGGGACTGGAGAGCTTTACCCTGCCGGGCTTCACACGGCTGCGTGGCTTTAGCTTGGAGCCATCCCAAGGGCCTCTGCAAGTGGTGTAAGCGGGCTGGAGAAGGATGTTTTGTATAAACAGGAGGGATATTGCTATAGTTATCCCGAGACACTTATTGTGATATAGTTGTCTCAGTGTAAGTCCCTGAACAGCAGCTTTTTTTTCCTTCAGAAGAAAGGAAATGCTTCATATTGCGTCAAAGCAGCATAACCCAAAGCAAATAGGGTGAGGCGGGATTTTAGTGACTTTCCCTCTGCCACATTCCCCATCTCAACGCAGGACCAGCTCCTTCCTACCCCAAATGCCATGTTTCTGTGTAGGAGGAAGCCAAATTAAGGTGACTGGGAGCAGGTAGGAAATTCATTGACCTTTCTTGCTGTAAAGCTGCGAAGACCAAAACTGTCTGCGTAGCCAACCGTGCTGAGAAGGCTGGAGCAGACGTCTGCAGAACCTGGGAAACTAATCCCCCTGCAAATACGGATGGGCCACAAAGCAGATATGGAAGCATTTAGCACTGATACATATAATTTCCATGCTAAACAGTGCTCTTGGCATTGGGAGCCACGTGCCGCTGGGGAGCAGCTGGAGCAGACGTCGAAGTTGCAGCCCTCACGGCACTCTTCGTCTTCGCTCTTTTACTTAACCCTTCCCCAGCAGGAGATTTTTTTTTCTTCCCTATATGCTGGAGAGACCTTTCTGTAGGTTTTCTTCATCAAGCATTTCTCAGTGTAAACCCAGGAAAAATCTTACAGCCACCCACTAGATTAAAAACTGGTGGGACAGACCTCAAAATGCTGCCTGCAGCAGTGAAGCCTGCCATGCACAGGGTGAAGTCTCAGAAGCTTCCCACAGCCTGGCTGAGCCTGACCTCTACTCACCCAACTGCAGCCCCCATCACTCCACACCACAACCCTGACCCATGGGATGAACTCCTGGTGATGCTGCTCCACCTTCACCCTGCATCCCTGCCGTGGTGGGACCCCAAGACCCACACACTCGGTTTGTCACCTGGTAGGTGTCTGTAGCACTTTAAGCAGCATTAAATCACGTGCCTTGGAGCAATGTGGAGATATTAAAACCAGACTATTAAAACCAGACTTCAGCAGAGGTATAACAGAATGATGCCACCTTTGTCTGACCACATCATGTCCATGAATCTATCTTGGGTTTGGTTATTAATGCCATTGCTGTGGTTTTGTTTTACTGAGGGACAGTACTGTTGCTGCTGCTGTTTGGCTCTGCTGACTTTTTATTACTGAGACGTCTTGCTTGTCCTCCCTGAGCAGTCTGCATCTGTGCCCCACTACAGCCCTGGGGGTGCAGGAGGGAAACTGAGGCATCTGAGGATGGGGAGAAAATGCAGTTTGTGCTCAGCCCCACCGGTCACAGGGAGGATTTTTGACAACTGCGTGAGCTGCTCTAGGCATTAGCACTGCCCAGGCCCCATTTTTCTGTGCTGGGTAATTCCTGGTGAAGTTTTTGCTATTCCAGGTATTCACACAGCTTCTCATCTGGATGGATTCACAGGTGGCTAACAGGGAGAGCGCTTGCAATTTAACTTTGTCCTTAGTTGAGGCAATTACTGGTTGTTTTTTCTCCACCTGGATGAATATTATCATAAAATTTTAAATAGGGACTTCATTTTCTGTGACCTTCTATTTATCTGTCAAATTTGGGTCAAAACAACTAAGGAGCTCAACAAATGCTAGTGGATGCAGATGAGCATGGACACGCATGCTACACATGATTAAATGCACCTTGTTTCCTAAGAAATACATGCTTAAAACAGTTAACTTAAAATGGAGGTTGCCACAGCAACCATACACATTACCAAAGCTAAAAGCAAAGGTCATTGTTAAAATTAATTTCTCCCTACAAGCTATGGAAGGCAGAAGGTAATGCTCACCACACCCTGATGCTTCCCCAGCTCACGTGCTTAGAAGTTGTTTCCCTCACAAAGATGTTTAAAGAAACCCCTCCTTTTCTTTGTACGGAAGATTTGCTTCAAGAACATCCCAAGAAACCAAGGACCTGATTTTTCAGATAATCAATGAAAGCAAATATTCCCTCATGAAAACCTTCATCATATTAATGACACAGTATTTTGCTTTTTTGTTCAGTCACTCTTTAGCCAGCTCTATTCATTGGACGTTTCAGGAAAGGCATTCAAGTAACAACCAGTCTGGGTGGAGAGGAAATGCTGTGTTCTTGCACCCAGAGAGCTGTGAATTGGGGTGGTTTGTCATAGGAAATGGCAGTGCCTGTCTCTGCACCGACAGCACAAGCATCTTTGGTACCCAGGAGTGTTTTGCACTGAACTCTGCCCCTTCCAGGGTCTGCTGCCATCCATCTGCTGCCTGCCAAGGATTGTATTATAGGATATTACACCCATTGTGCTTCCTACCTCACTTTGAGATGTAGCTAAGACATATTTAGCTCCAGTACATGTTGTTCTAAATATACACAAATTATACATAAAAAAGCCTGCAATCTGGCCTACCTAATGCCTACGTTAACACACTTGTATAGCTGGGAAAAACACACAAATCCTGCTTGAAATCTGAAATAGCAGCAGCAGACTAGGAGTTTTCTTCCTGGGAAAGGCTGGAAGAGACCAACAGGGGAGAGCTAGGAAGGAGATCTTGCAGCCAGGAGGTGTGAGGGGGTTGGAGGGGCTCTGAGGAGTGTACCACCAGCACCAGGCTGGAGTCACTGCTGGAAAAGAGAAAATTTGGCTTTCTGACGGCTGTTGTGGGGCTGGATGCTGAAGTTATGCTGAAAGAGCAAGGCTAGAAGACAGGGAACCCCAAGCTGATTTGGGAAGCCAGGCCAGAAAACCAGGTTTGTGCCAGAACTGGGCTTAACACAGGTGCTCAGAGAGGCAACAGTCATGACCAGGATGGATCACCCAGCCCTTGTGGAGTCTTGGCACAGACCCCCTTCGTGTCTGCCATGAAGGTCTTCCGGGGGCTGATCTGGCAGATACCCGTCAGCTCAGCCAGGACTGCAGCCCCAGCTCTCCGGGACAACCTTCCCCCTTCAACAGCCTGGAGATGGCCTGCAGTGTCCCACAGACCTCCACTAACCCTTTACCCTTCTTCCCTGCAGGTCCCCAGTGCAACGCCTCGGTAGACCTGATCGGCACGTGTTGGCCCCGGAGTGCGGTGGGACAGCTGGTGGCTCGCCCCTGCCCCGAATATTTCTATGGTGTGCGGTACAACACCACGAGTAAGATGAGCTGCACTGGTGGGGACATGGTGGACGAGGAATGGGGGAGTTCAGAGAGCCACGTGCATCAGGGGCCGGGAGGGCTCAAGTGACAATGCATCTCTGGATACAGAGCTCGGGAGGAGCTCTGTGGGATCCATCAACCAAAAGAGAAAAAATCCCTCATATCCTAAATTTCAGGGAGGGTGATTTCACAGCACCAGCTTTATAAGCAGGTCCTGGACATGCTCTCTGTGAAGGGGGAGAGAGCTGATGTCCCCATCTTGGGGACAGGGGAGGAGGAGTGAGCCTGCTGAGCTGCGGGAGGTGGCACGGAGGTTTGCAACCCCCAGCTGAGCAAGGACTGCGGGACCTTGCAGCTCATCCTTTCCCGGCGTGGCTGACTGCATTGTCACTGCCAATGATGTGCTGGGACCGGGGATGAAGTGAAGGCACTTGAAAATTGCCCAAAGCCATTCCTAGCACACGGTTGAGTTTCTGACCACCAAGTGCTGCTTTTGATAAAAGCAACATCTTGCTGCCTGCAGAAAACATTGATTTTTCCATCCCACAAGTTTCTGGAAGCAGTGGAAGATCGCATGCATACGGCTCCCGCTTTGTGGTGCTTCTCATGCCGTTGCAGGAGTCTCTTTGCATTAATCCATAATTGTGCCTGCCTAAAAGCCATTCCCATCCCTGTCCCATTCCATCGCCCTGATGATGATAAGCCCTCTCCTGCTAATAACAGAAGCCCAGTACCATTCCAGTGATGGCATCACCCCGCTGCTGGCGCTGATCAGAGGTTGCTCTGGGGCTGTTCCAGCCGTTCCTTCCCAATTAGCCTTGCTGCTCGCCATCCTTGCTGGGAGGCAAAAAAAGCTCCTAATGCAGGGAGCGAAGTGAAAACTTCACGGTGCCGTTGCAGCAGTGCTTGCAGGATGGCACGTGATTGCTCAAGCAAACAGCATAGAGGAGGGGAACAGGAGACCTGAACTTGTGCTGTTCCCACTGCATCTCAGTGGTGGGAGGTGTCGGGGTCTCCCAGTGCCGAAGGGCAGAGCTGGTGCAGACCCAAAGCCCTTGAGGGGGTCTGACATATTCCAGGGATTTTGGTTCTGCAATTGCAACCAAGGCAGCATCTGAGCTGGCTTCAGAGCAAAGGATGTCACTGGCTTGAAGTCAGCGACCCCTGCATTAGTGTCATCAGGTCACATCGTTATGCCCATCCCCACACACCATTAACCCTTCGATGTGCACCCTCTCTTTCAGATAATGGCTACAGGGAATGCCTGGCTAACGGGAGCTGGGCAGCACGGGTCAACTATTCCCAGTGCCAGGAGATCCTCAGCGAAGAGGTAGGACCCCAGTAGCCCCCTTGGCGGGGCTCTTGGTATGAGGGTGAGGGACAGACAATGGAATTTTGAAGGGCAACAGCATCCAGGTCAGGAACGGCCTAAGGGAGCTGTGGCCTGGCCAGGCAGCATATATGACCCCATTCTTGATATGCATTTTCATTCCCTGCCAAAAATAAAGCCACGCCTGTTTCCTTCCCTGTTAAAAATCCACGAGGATTTGCAGTGTGAGGTCTCCTGGCCCCAGGGCTGCTGGATGCAGCTCAGTATGCCCTCCAGCCCCATCACCCTCCTCCAGCTCCCTCTTGACACAAGCACTCACTGTAAACCCTGTCCCTCCCCACTGGCAATGAAAGGAGATGTTTGGGAAGCTGAAAGGAGTAAAAAACTGGGGACCAAGAATTACAGCCCCCTGAGTAGGTCAAGCCTCCCCTCAGAACAGAGGAGAAGAGATACACGCTGTTCATTTGCAGTTGATACCACCTCTGGTATTTAAGATGCTGATATCTCTTGCCAGGAATGGTTTTCTCACTCAGTTAATTGCTAATTCACAGGTTGGGTGAGTGCCTCACAGCAGGAGTGATCAATTAATTTAATTATCACTCACACCTTCCTGAGATCCCTTGCACCTCTGCCCAAATTCATCCTAGCCTTTCAGCTGCCCCAGGGCAACTGAGACATCAGATGGCATGTTGTCAGGGAGCTCAGCTGAGTTACAGCAGGATTTCCCCAGACACGAGTTGGGGATGTCCCAGTGCTGAGCTGGGGTGTTGTAGCGGCAGCAACCGTGAGGTGCCCTGGTATGGATAGGATGTGAAATGCCTGAGCCCTTTCCAGGGCCAGGTTGGTGCTCCTCCTGTCTACAAAAGTCCCGTCCAACCAGCCCTGTCCCCTTCCAGCCCCATCTCTCCTGTCCTGCACCAGATGGGCTCCAGTTGCCTTATGTAAAAGGGCCCCAAATTTGGGGTGCAGCTCTTGGGGGTGATGGTGATGCACCTTAGTGGAGGAGGTGGGTTTGTGGTGGTACCCAGGGCTGCTGCTGATCCCCTCCCCATCTCCCCCTCACCAGAAGAAGAGCAAGCTGCACTACCACATCGCCGTCATCATCAACTACCTGGGGCACTGTGTCTCGCTGGGGGCCCTTCTCGTGGCCTTCGTCCTCTTCATGCGCCTGCGGTGAGTGACCCAACCTGTTGCCATGGTCCTGCTGGGGAGACGAGCCCAAGGAGGTCACCCCACAGCCCTGGGGCTGGGGACAGACCCAGCCCCTGCGTTCTGCCATATCATCCCCATGGCCATTGCTCTCCAGTCTGGAGGGATCATGCCTATCTCAGGATTATTAATTATTATTAATAATCTAAGGATTATTTTCCTCCTGCTGCTTTTTTTATGGAGGCAGGGGGTCCATCTTGGTGCCTTCCACCTTTTGGTCTTCATCAAGCCCGCCTCACCCAGGGCATGGCCCTAGAAGCTCGCCCTTGGGATCCAATAAAGACATTCAGCTCCACAAATAGCCCTGTACCCCAGTTTACACATGACCAGCCCCCAGACACCCACCATGTTCTTATGGTCCCTTGTCCCTCCCTCTCCAGGAGCATCCGGTGCCTGCGGAACATCATCCACTGGAACCTGATAACAGCCTTCATCCTACGCAACGCCACGTGGTTTGTGGTGCAGCTCACGATGAACCCAGAGGTGCATGAGAGCAACGTGGTAGGTGCAGCTCTGTTGAGCAGCCAGTATGAGCCTAGCCCTGAGCACATGGGGTGCATGGGGAGCTTGAGGATCCTAAAGATGAGGCCAGAAAAGCAGCTTGAGAGGCCAAATAGGGCTGCCTGGTGCTTGGAAGACAACCCAGACTTAATGAGAAACATGGGTTCAATTGCTCTGCCGGGGTGTGTTGCTTGTGTATGAGTTTCACCACTGTAACGCAGAGCTCTGCTCTTCACCCTCCATGTCTCCTCCTTGGCAGGTCTGGTGCCGCTTGGTCACTGCTGCCTACAATTACTTCCACGTCACCAACTTTTTCTGGATGTTCGGCGAGGGCTGCTACCTGCACACGGCCATCGTGCTCACCTACTCCACGGACAAGCTCCGCAAGTGGATGTTCATCTGCATCGGCTGGTGTAAGCACCAGGATTTCCCCTTCACCCACCGGGTACCCAGGGTTTTAGTGATGGGTGATGCCCACTTGCATCCTCTGTTCCAGCTCTTCTTGCACCCAAATAGCTGCAAAAAGGCTGCCAGGAGCAGGAGGCCATTTGCATGGCCATATCATCTCACATGGTGGTTTAGCCTATGTGGAAAATCCCTGTTACAGCATAATTTTGTGGCAAAATTGTACCCCTGGACTCATCTGTGTGTTCACCTGCAGGTATCCCCTTTCCCATCATCGTCGCCTGGGCCATTGGGAAGCTGTACTACGACAACGAGAAGTGAGCCTGATTACTCTCATCCCCTATTCTCCTTTCTATTCTGATTCCCTGGAGGTCAGTTGTGCCAGAGGCTGTGGCAGGCATGGATCCTTCCTGGAGGGGCTGACACGAGGCAGGGTACATGGAAAGGGTGGGAGGAAGAAAAAGAATGCTCTTCCCTTCTTTCTTTTATCCCACCTGGAGGCTTTCTGCCACAGGAGCCCTGCCTGCAGCCGCCTGCTGCCGCATTTTTCTCTTCAAAGGGCAAATGAGATTTTTAAGGGGGAAAAGGCAAGATTAAGCCAGAGCCCCTACAACATGTTTGCTAAACGGAGCTGGGATTTAATCTACTAGCAGAGATATAAACTACCACCATCTGAGCCATTTTCACAGAGACTTGCTAATGGAGGGCTTAACAGGCACCTGGGAGTTCATCATGTGGGAAGTGGAGTTAAAAGGAGCCTCTGTAGATGAACGGCAGCTTGTCCTGGGTTTCCGTGCTAGTTCTGCCCCTTGACTTCAGCAGCCCTGTGCTACACACGCAGGCACAGCACTGAGTTAACACCCAGCAAGGTGCTCTCAGGACATGGGGCCACCTGTGTGAGCTCGTGCAGGGTTTGCTGGGGACAGAGCCAACCTGGACCTGTGTGCATGTCAGGTTGACCCTGCTTGTCCTACAGTAAACAGTTCCCACATCGGTACAGGGTCCATAAACACCCCCACAAGTCCCCATGCAATAGTGGCCGCTGAAATTGTGGTTCTTTCACCCTATGGAGAGTGACTGACAAAGATTGTGTGAGGACATGAGTAAGTCCAGGTCACTCACGCTGCAGGCTTGTCCCTGACACTGCTTGTCCTTGCCTTGCAGGTGCTGGTTTGGGAAACGAGCAGGAGTTTATACCGACTACATTTACCAAGGTCCCATGATCCTGGTGCTTCTGGTAAGGGCAAAGCGGCTTCGCTTGCTAAATACAGAGTCCTTCCCATCCATGCGTGGGAGAAGACTGTTCCTGGACAGGGTCTTGCCCCTCCTTCAGCATTGCCCCGCTGTATTGCCCCACAGCAGCAAGGCTGCTTGCCCTGCAAGCCCAGCTCCCCTCACCCAAACTGCACCTTGAGCGAAACTGGGCACCTAACCCACAACGAGGAATAGCGTGCGTGGATTATGCTGGCTTGGGAGGGGCTAGAAAGGGAGCCGTGAGTCCTCACTCTGGTAGGGATGCTGCCAGCAGCAGACTCCCACGTGCATCACTAAGTCCTCCATCCCTGTCCTGACATTCTTTGGGTGCAGGTGGGTGCTTTGCCAAGCATGCACAGCAGCCTGGGGACCTCAGCTCTGTTCCCTGATCCATATCACTTTGCTCCCTGCCCTTGGCTGAGCAGTGATGCTCGAACCAGGGGTCATAAGGAACACAATTTGCTGAGGCTTTGCCCTTTTTTGGAGGGCACAAAGAGGGGCAGTGGTGGTATGTCACAGGCAGCAGTGTTAGGGATCCAACTTGTTTGTGGGGGAAGCCACGCACAAGGTCCCACAGCACCTCCTCTGCCCTTGCCCAACGCTGAGAAAACGCAAGGCAGGATTAATCAAAGGCACCAACCAGCCTCACTGAATAATTGAGCTGGCTTCTCATTTCCCAGCCCATCAGGTAGCCAGGCCACTTCTAATTTGTGTCAATTGTGCTCAGCTCCCAGGCCCATCTTCCCGTGCCCTCGTTAACGGTTTGGCCAAGCGGCTCCTTGCTGTGATGACAGCAACTCTCCCAAAATCCCTTCGGCTGCCTTATATTCCTCCCCCTCCTCCAACTTTTTCACCTTCAGCCCTTTCTCTAACACTTGCCCTTCCTTACTTATCTCCTGGTGTGCCCTGCTGCCCCACTCCCTTGAAGAAATGCCTAAATGTTATTGCTAAAATGATTTAAAAATTATAAATGCAGATGTCCTGCTCCACTGCATGGAAGGTGACAGATCAGACTGAGAGGAACCATTCCCATTTACCCTGGCATGGCCCATTATCTCTGCTGAGGAAACACTGGGGAGCAGACACTAACCAGGTGCCCTCTTCCTTCCAGATCAACTTCATCTTTCTATTCAACATTGTCCGAATCCTCATGACGAAGCTCCGAGCTTCAACCACATCAGAGACAATCCAGTACAGGTAAGAGCGTGAGCAACCCTGCAGAAAGCAGAAACCTAGAAACTGATTAGGGGCATAGGAACAACAGCCAAGTATCATGGGGATGTGAGTGTGGAGAGACATCTAGGAGCACCTCAAATGGTTTTTGCACCTGGGGTTGTTCAAAAATCACGTCTAAGGAGAACTTTGTGTTGGAGAGTGTGGAGAGCTGGATCTGCCTTTGAAGGGAGCGCTGGGAGCTGAGTCTCTTCACAAAAGCGTTTTCCGGTAGGACCAGGTCAGCTCGCTGGGCTCGGAGCTGCAAATCCTGGCATGGAGGTGAGAATTAAATCGCCGCATGATAGCAAAGCAGAGGGCGAGAAAGGAGAAATTAATTGATGCCACCCCAAACACCTCCCCATGAAGCTGAAAGGAGAAGGCAGCTCTCAGCAGCACATGGCAGGAAGGTTTAACCCTTCCCGGCTGTGGAATATATTGCAGACAACTTGGGAAGTGCACGGTCACAGCCGCTTTCCAGAGTACCTGGAACAGGAGACAACACCTTGATCTTCATCAGTGCTTCTCTCTGGATCATTTTTTGGGCAGGAATCAGGGAATCTCACTGTGTTCTGAGTCAAGAGAAACAGTTTTGGAGGGTGGCTTTTCCAGCTGAGAATGGAAAAAGTCAGATGCTGTCATTGGGAAATGCCATCTTTCCTCATCCCCAGGTATTGAGCTGGGAGGAACGATTCAGCTTGGGGTGAGCAAAGATGAAGGTTATTGAAACAGGCTGGTTGGCCTCAGTCAGCAATTCTGAGAGACTTTTGTTTTTCCAGTATTTTCCTGATTTTTGGCAGGGAAGGTTTTTTGGTTTTGGGCAGAAGAATGTTTTCACGTCCCAGAAACATTTTGTCGGATGGGAAAACTTGGAGTGTTCGGTAGGTTATAAACTGTGTAGCCTTTCTTAAACCAGGCAAGGGACCGCCCTGAGGGTTCCTGCTCACCTTAGTCAATGGCTTTTGGTAAAAACCTGATGGATTCCCCCACTACCATAGCTGCATCACCCCCTGGGGAAGCCACACTGGTCCATGTGCTGTCCCATGCTCCCTGAAGGTGCTCATTTCCTCCATTGTTTCCAGCTGCTCTGTGCCATCTCCCAGTTTGTGTCAGTGGCTGTGGCTCTCCAGGTCAGCGATGCAGCACAGGTCCCAGGCCCAGTGTCTGTGCCCAGTCCACACCTGCCAGGGATGACTTTTCCTGTGTTCAGCTAATGTTGGAATCTGTCCATTAACAGGATCTTTAAGCAAAAATGTTGACTTGGCATTGTTCTTGTCCCCTAATCCAAATGAGTGAGGCACCAAGCCCCGATCCTTCCAGCACTCTCTTGCATCAGCACTATTACTTTTCAGAAACATCACTTGTAATCTCATCAAGAAGATATCAAATTAATTAGCTGAGGTACATTTTTCATAAACCCATGCTGAAGGGTGTGAATTATTTCACCCTTCCTAATGTCTTTTTAATCGAGCCCTAGATCAGCCAAATAATCATTTCATGCCAGCTCAACGTCAGACCTCCACTATCCACTGCCCTTTTCTGGATGGAGAAACTACAGAAGGTGCCCAGTGCTCAGACCACCCCTCTCACTCAGGGATGGCATTGGGAAACTGTTCAACTCTGCTCCATCCTCCTCAGTTACTGGTTTGTCCAGATCAGTCCCTGCCATGCTGGTGCTGGGAGTGGGATAGGGAGAGTCCCAGTGCCCGTGGCTGCACAGCAGCAGCTCAAGTCCATGTTTTCTCTCCAGGAAAGCAGTCAAGGCCACGCTGGTGTTGCTGCCCTTGCTGGGAATCACCTACATGCTGTTCTTTGTCAACCCAGGGGAGGATGAGATCTCCAGGATCGTCTTCATCTACTTCAATTCCTTTCTGGAGTCCTTCCAGGTATGGTCCTTGGCACTAGCTTCCATCCCAGTCCCCCCACCAAGGGATGTGGAGGAGCCTGTCCTGTGGCTGATGCCTCACCCTGCTTCTGCCCATCCCAAAAACAGACATCCCCAAATCCCAGGGTTGCTCCAAAGCTCCTGAGCCTGGGGGTGGTTGCTCTGCAGTGACTCTGCTGCTTGTCTCCTTCCAGGGCTTCTTTGTCTCCGTCTTCTACTGCTTCTTGAACAGCGAGGTGAGCACCAGGGGCTAGAGGTGCTTGTTGGGGGCCTGCATCCTTCCTTGCAAGCAGACACAAGACCCTCAGCCCGAGGGTCTGCCCTGCACAGGACTCAGAGGGTGCTGGCACCCGGTGCCCCAGCTGAAGGCATTTGCCGTATAGTCAGTGCATTACCTCCGGCTCCAGGCAGATCCACAGTCACAGGCTGTGCCCAGGTGGGAATGGCTGTGGCCAGTCTCCACATTTGGAGGAGTAAAATCTACCTCTGAGAACAGATGCTTTGGGGGGCACCTGTGATTTGGTGCAGCAGGAAGGCCCAGGGTCCCTCCATCCCTGGGAAATCCCTCCCCAGTGTGATCCCCAAACATGCATGGGTACCCAGCACAAGGATGGGAGACATCTCCTGGGCTCTGAACCAAAACAGACAGCTGAAAGCAAAGGAGGTGAGATTAGAGGCCGATCCTGGGGCTGATCATTTGTTTGCCTCCTCCCAAGTTCTTCTGCACCTTTGTCACAGACAAGATTGCTTCATTACCAAATTGTAAATATTAGACGCAGGAAGAAAAGGGACTGGACCAGGGATAGCTGGTGAACCAGGAGCATATCACACCATGCAATTCATGGTCCTTCATCTCTGGATTGCAGCTGGGCTGGCTGGGGATTTCGGTGTTCACCCAGCCACCCCATCTCAGCTGTCTGTGTGCCAGTCTCCTAGGGCCATCCCATGCTGCAGTCAATGAAAAGACATTTATTCACTATTTACCTGCCACTTAGGCTGTTGCAGGGCAGAATTAATGTTGAAGAAATGCCACTAGCATGAACCAGACAAGCCATATAACCTCCCCATCTGTTGCTCACACCAGCCCCTTGCAGCATCCAATGCAGCATGTGAGATGGCAGCTGTCCTGCAGAGCCCCTGCCCAGATTTATTTCTCCCTCCTGTTTCCATTTTGCGCTCAGAGGTACCATCAGTTGAGTTCATCTCTCTTCACAGCTGCAAGGGCTGCATTTCACTGGCACCACATGAAACAAGGCCCTCAGAGGTGACAAGGGCTCCCAGGTCCGTCCCTGCCCTCAGGGAGCTGAGCAGGATTTCAGTACCATTTTTTCGTTGAAAGACTGAGGATGAGGATGGCTGGTGCCTCTGGACAACTTCAGAAAGCTGTGAGGTGACTAAACATCCCCCCCTCTGTCTCACACCCCCAGGTCCGGTCAGCTGTACGGAAGCGGTGGCACCGATGGCAGGACAAGCACTCCATCCGCGCCCGTGTGGCTCCGGCCATGTCCATCCCCACCTCCCCGACTCGCGTCAGCTTCCACAGCATCAAACAGTCCACGGCTGTCTGAGCCAGGAGCGAGCTGCCCTACGGGATGGGGGAGCTGGTGTAGCTGTGGTGTAGGACGCCTGACATGGCACAGCACAGGAGCCGGGTCCTGCCTGCACCCACCAGTCTTGCAGAGGACGCACAAACTTGCTGCAGCTATGGGAAACCCTACAGAAGCTTCTGTCCTGCTTGCTGGGGCAGAGCTGTAGGATAGGACAGCTGAGATGCTGCTTTGTTGACTCCCTGGCTGTGGTATGACTTGCTGGGGTGGCAGAAGGAGCCAGAGGAGGCTGGAGAGGCTACAGCAACCTTCCTGCCTACTTTCATCCTGGGCACAATGCCCCATGTCCCATTGCTGCCTCTCTCGAGTTTGTCACTGCTTTGAGGTGACAGGACACCAGGACATTTTTGGGACAGCTTATGGGGCTAATTCCTTGTGAAGCTGTGTCAGCCTTCCAGTGACTGCGTGCTGGGATGCTGCTCAGGGAGGCCCAAAACCCTCTGTGGGGGCCAAAGCGCTCTGGGTTGATGGGGGATGGATGGAGAGCCCTGAACTGAATGCAGACACTGACTTTGGTTTTGTACCACTGGGGTTATTTGAGCCCTTCCCCTTGCCAGGTCCCAAGGAGGTCCTGTAACTGCTGCATGGTCCGACCTGGTCATTTCTCGTCTTGACACTGAGGATGTGAGGCAGAGCAATGGGGTGGGAATGAGACCCAGGGGCTCTGAACAGCCACATTGAGGGAGCTTGGTCTGAAGGGAGGCACAAGGTTTAGTGAATCCTGTGGTCCAGCCCACCCCACCTAGGTCTACAGGTCTTTGCAAAGCCCCTGGACTTCAGGTTGGCTCTGTGCCCCTGTTTGGGGGTAGAAGGGTGAGGGAGAGCTGCAGCAAAGCAGTGGCTCAGCTCCCCAAAGGCAGCTACCGTGAGGAGATGCCGTGGATTTGCTCCCCTCCTCCCTGCCCCAATTTTACCCGTGCAAGCAGGCTCAGTGCCAAAGCTGCTCCTTGCTCTTACACAGGGGATGGGGCCAGATCATGCCCATGCTGGGTTAAGTGCCTTGGAGGAGCGGCAGCCTCCCTCCCCATGCCGGGGACCACAGACTATCTCACATGAGGTTCCCAGGTCCCACCAAGTCCCTCATCCACCTCCACTGCCCCGTTTCATGTGGTCACTGAGAGCAGCTGAGCACAGAGGTCCATGTAAGGTGAAGGGTTTTGCCCTGACCTCCTGGGAGCCACTTGCCCCACCCTGTATGAGGTCTGGGGATGCTCAGGCAGGGGGAGGGTGCCAGAGGGGTTATGGGCCAAGCCTGCTCTTGGCACCCCAGGGATTTTGTCATTGGGGCCCTGCAAGGTTTGGTATGAGTCCCTTCACACTTCCATGCCTCAGTTTCCCCACTATAAAGGACAGTCAAAAGTATTTCCCACTCTGGGGAGATTTAAGCATCTCTAAAATTGTGGTGGTCTGTGATTTCCTCAGGACACACAACCAGAAAGGAATACCTTTTTTTTTTTTTTCTTTAGAGCAAGGCACATGCTAAAACCTCCAGGTTCTTTCTTTAAATGTTCAAGGAGTTCAGTGGTTTGAAGCAAATTCCTCCCATTTCCCTCCCACTGAGATTTCCCACCTGCATGTCTACTGTGCAGCCAAAACCAGAAATATCCCATTGCCTCCAGTAAGGTGCTGAGAGCAGCAACAGCTCCCAGTATGGTGGAGTCAGCACAAGGACCGTGTCCTGCACATGGGGCAGGTTTTTGTCCTTGTACAAGCTTGTCCATCACCAACAGTCCCAGAAACTGCCCCTTGTCCAATATATGGGTGAGAAAAAGACCCCCAGAGTTATGCAAGGTGAAAACTGGCAGCTCCCAGCTTTACAGATGCTTTTGGAAGGGCTGGTGCCCTACAAGGAGTAGACTTGTGTGTCCCCACCATTGGTCAGTTTGATTTCTCTGCCAGGTACTTTGGCAGGAGTTAATAAAGATCTGCTTGCTACGGAGAAGGGGCGATGCCCCAGGGAGCTTCTTTCATTGTACATACAAGTGATGTTACCAAAACGCGGTGCACTACATGTTCAATTTGGATTTTTCTAAAGCAGGATCACTTTTGGTGGAAAAGAAGATGGAAATTGAAAAACCAAAGAAAGAAACACAAACAAAAACATCTGTGTTCACATCACTGTGTTTTCCTTCTCCTCTCAGTGGTCTGCTCCAACTGACATGACTTTGTTTTCCGTAGCTGGAGAGGTGTGTGTGTTCTCGTCCTTGTTTGATTAAAATTACTTCAGTTCCTCTCACAAGGACTTTTGGGGCATTTTTATCTTTTGGAAAAGACAACCACAGCATGGCCCCTCCCTACTTTCCCCAGGAGCATCCTCAGGCTGCAGTGGGTTCGGCATCCAAGAGGCACCTCGGGCAGCTGGTGGCTTTTTGTCCCCCTCTGTGCCCCAAGTCCCCATGCCCACAGCATGGAGGTGGGATGCAGGCTGTCCATGAAGTTATCAACACTGTCTCATTAAAGGGGGGTGAGGAGCACCCCATGTGTGTCTCCCACACAAGCCCATCAGGGCTAGAGAAACTCCTCCAAGTTTTCCATGATGCTCCCTCTCACCAGCTGAGCCAACACAGAATAAAAACGTAATGTGCTTCACAGCAGGAGGGAGGGCCAATTAAATCTGAATTTCATTTCATACATCAATGTTTACGAGTGAAATTCAGACACAAACATCTCTTTCTGGTCAAGCTCTTCTGTTGCAGAATTAATTTGCTCATCACACAGAGCCTTGGAGAGCACTGTAATTTGGTAAGCACCATGCACATAAATAATAATTACAGG